TCACAAGAACGTCGAATCTGAATCACTTGAAAAAAACACGGGAGTGCTTAACTTTTTTCCAGGTGTATAGCTCAAAGCTACACGAGGGCTGTCTGCGCTAGCCGTCTCTAATTTAGCAGTTGAAGACTAGAGGGAAGGCATCTAGTCATCACCACCCACCGCCAACTCTTGGGCTACTCTGTTACCAACGGATAGTAGGACTGACCGTCACATTATAACGCCCCCCCCCCCCCGTCTGAAAGATCAAGCACATTTGGTGGGAGGAGGATTCGAAACCCCCTAACCACCTAGCCATGCCGGGCCGATTTCACAAAATACCTAGATGTGCCCTAGATATTTAGAACCATACAGTGAGGAAAAAAAATGGCCGTTTTATTAAACGTCTCATTATTATCCAATTGCTTGAAAGAGTCGTAGTTTAAAAGCCATAATCAAAATGCAACTTTATTGTTACACGTCTTGGTATAAGATCAAAGACATAGCTCAAGGTTATGAGCTGATGTTGCTTTTAAAGATGTTCTGGTAAATGGGAGATTCAAGGAAAATACTAGTGATTTTGTAGCGACGTATATTTTCTAGTTAACATGATTGTCAATTGTTCCATTTAAAGAGTTATTCTCCTTTGTCTTTGACAATAAAAAATTAGTTTTAAGAATATTCTCAATTTCTTACCAGTCGAAATAACTATAGTTTTTACTTTCCTAATTATTGAGACAAAACCTGAAATAATTTTGTGTTCGTTTGTTTTCATGAACAAACCTATACAACGAACAGAGCCCATTGCATAATTCGAATCTCGGAGTGTTATAAGCTCTCAGGCTTACAAATGAGCTACTTCGAGGCTTTAGTTTTCAACACACTATAAACTTTTAAGGAAACTTTCCCTTCGCCCTGCATGGCCAGGTGGCTAGGGCGCTCGACTCGCAATCTGAGGGTCGCGGATTCTAATCCCCGTCACACCAAACATATTCGCCCTTTCAGCCGTGGGGACGTTATAATGTGACGATCAATCCCACTATTCATTGGTAAAAAAAGTAGCCTAAGAGTTGGCGGTGGGTGGTGATGACTAGCTGCCTTCCCTCTAGTCTTACACTGCTAAATTAGGGACGGCTAGCGCAGATAGCCCTCATGTAGATTTGCGCGAAATTCAAAACAAACAAACTTTCATGTGAAACACACATTCTCCAGTTTCTTCACATTTTAATTCGCTTGATTAAGCAGGTATTTTATAGGTCCTTTGGGTTTTTTCAACGGGCTTCTTTTCCTTTATGTATCAAACGTGAATGCTCACAAACTACGTAACTTTGGCATAATTGAGAAAGGTCTTAATATTGTAAACTACGTCTACCAAAAGCTCTTACTGATAGCTAAAACAGTTACTCACCCTACTTCTAGTATAACTATAACTTTTATAAGAATTTGGATTTGTTTGTTATACAGGTCTAAATTTCAAGTTGTTTTCCACAGTTTTAAATTTAATGTTTAATTATCTGTTGGTCTGGCGTGGCCTAGAAACTGGACTGTGGATCGGATGATTCATGGTTTGTGTTACATTACTGCAAAATTGCGTTACGCAGATTGGGGTTATAGTGTGTCATAAAAGTGACGGCCAAATTCCACTATTCGATTAAATTAGTCCAAGAGTTGTCGGTGAATGGTGTTGACTAGCTGCCTTCCTACTAGTATATCAGCTCGAAATTAGGGATATAACTAGTGTCGATAGTTCCTCAAAACGAAACTTCACTAAGGAAACTATAAACATCGTAAAAAGTAAAGAGAAATCACGTTAGATAGTTTCTCGTCCATAGAAGTTTCTTAAAGTGAAGAGGAATCACGTTAGATAGTTTCTCGTTCATAGAAGTTTCTTGAGAAATTAGTAATTAATTACTTGTTACGTTCAGCAGTAATCTTCTTCTTAAATAAGAGCGAGACTTATCTTTGCCTGGGGCTGGCCTCAAAGTGCATGAAATACTGAGTTTTTTTGGCAAATTAAACGTTCATATCCAAATACTGTTAAAAGGCAACTGCCAAAAAAATAACGGAACTTAGTACCAGCTCCCAGAAAAGGAAAGATAATCCCACTGGAATTCGATTAAGAACCGATGAAAATCGGCAGAATTTCACCCACGAAGTGATATAAGTTAGGAAATTTGTGTTATACTTATTTCGTAGTTAGGAGGGGTATAGTGCTGCTAAAGTGCCGCTTCGGCACTTGAAATTGGAGCTGAATTATGACAATTCAAAAATGAAAAATAAGTTATTTTTTTACACCCAAAATTAAGTATCTTTCATAATCGAATTCTTAGAGTATCAGAGAACACTTTGGCTATTTGCGATCCTACGTGTCAACAAGTAGAGCTCTCTTTCACTCTTTGACTCTCCCTCAGGAATTGGTGTCAGGCACCATGCGACCGCCTTGGCTCAAGAGTGGTGTAAGAACATTAAAATGATGTAATGTTTGATAATACGGCACGTGGTTACTAAGACACACAACTATGGCAATAAAAAATTTAATAGAATACATTTTACAATGATATTGTGTGTTTAAAACACACATTTTAAAAAAAGTTTATTATTTACTTACTATACAATGAAGGTTGTTTTTCTTTGCGCTATTCATGTTGTCAGAGCAGAAGGTATACAAAGCACTATAAAAACGTTGTCAATAGTATAGTGCAGATAGAAATACAGTAAGCTAATATGATATGCGTTTTTAAAACTTGTTTTAATGTTAGTAATTTTTATATGGTACTCAGCTGTTGTTGTTTTTCCTTTACTGATATTAAAGCAGTGTAGTGAAAATGGCACATTAAAAATGACACTGTTTCTTTCAAGAAGTAGTCTTGTGTTTATCAGTTTTAGTAGTAATATTTTACAACTTTGCATTATAATTCGTGCCATTGTTACCAGTTCCATTATTACTCGTGTCATTGTTACCAGTGCCATTATTACTCGTATCATTGTTATCATTCACATTATTACTCGTACCATTGTTGTAAGTGCCATTATTACTCGTGACATTGTTACCAATTCCATTATTACTCATGTCATTGTTATCAGTGCCATTATTACTCGTGTCATTGTTATCACTGCCACTATTACTCGTGCTATAGTTATCAGCGCCATCATTACTCGTACCATTGTTACCAGTGCCATCATTACTCGTGCCATTGTTACCAGTGCCATTATGACTTGTGTCATTGTTACCAGTGTCATTATTACTAGTGTCATTGTTATCAGTGCCATTATTACTCATACCATTTTTATCAGTGCCATCATTAATCGTGCCATTGTTACCAGTGCCATTATTACTCGTGCCATTGTTATCATGCCATTATTACTCGTGTCATTGTTACCAATGTCATTATTGCTCGTACCATTGTTATCCGTGCCATTATTACTAGGCATTAGTTGTATTAATTATTTGACAATGCATAAAAACAATTTGTGAATAAGAAGTCATCACACACAAACAGAATATAACAAAAGTGGATACACGAAATATACAGTCAAGACAAATATACAGTTAAGCAGATGTCAGCTGCTTAACGAAGTATATCCCCCCCCCTGAATTGAATACTTCGATTAGTAGTTATTCCCTCTGAGTATGGGCAGAGCACAGACAGCCCATTATGTACCTTTGTGCTTAACTTCAAACAAACAAAATCCTTCTGAGTTTTCATGCCAGCTAGAAATAGAAGTAATTTAAAGCTAGATCATATGTACAGTTATAAGACAATCCAGATCTCGTGTACATTATAAGACAATCCAAACTGTGTACATTATATGACAACCCAAACTGTGTGTACATTATAAGACAATCCAAACTACGTGTACATTATAAGACAATCCAAACTGTGTATACATTATAAGACAATCCAAACTGTGTACATTATATGACAACCCAAACTGTGTGTACATTATAAGACAATCCGAAATGTGTACATTATAAGACAATCCGAAATGTGTACATTATAAGACAATTCAAACTGTGTGTACATTATAAGACAATCCAAACTGTGTACATTATATGACAACCCAAACTGTGTGTACATTATAAGACAATCCAAACTACGTGTACATTATAAGACAATCCAAACTGTGTATACATTATAAGACAATCCAAACTGTGTACATTATATGACAACCCAAACTGTGTGTACATTATAAGACAATCCGAAATGTGTACATTATAAGACAATCCGAAATGTGTACATTATAAGACAATTCAAACCGTGTGTACATTATAAGA